GTCTCCCGACGTCCGACGCTTGGTTACGGATCGGGAGCCGCACCAAAACAAAACTGTACGCTCGACCTCGCATTGTCCTCCCCCCTCCAAGCGGCGCAAAGACTAAATAAATTAAGTTTCTTCCCGGCTCACATGAGCACGCAGCTCTTGGCGCGCGCCTTCCTGATGGCGGGCGGGCGCTCCTTGGAGGTGCACTCGGCGTAGGCCGCGGCGCCGATCTGTCTCGCCAGATGAGTACCCTGCGAGGACAAAAAAGGCGCTTGTTTGAAAGGAACCCTCGTGTCAGTCACCTGATGAAAGACTGGGTCTGCACCCAAACAATGAAGGGCAGGAAAGTGATTCTTTGCGGCGGTCCTCTCGTTAGTTTGCCAACAGTGGAAAAAGACGAGGATAAAAGAGGTTTGCCTTCATCCATATTCCAACTGAAGTCGCTTGATGTCGAAGGTAAAAGCCGAATGTGGCAATTACTGTCGGCGCAATGAGGGTTGTTGGCTTTTCGTTGATGGAGAATTGGAAAAAAAAAAGAACAAGTGGTTGGATTCCCAGACTCGGGAATTCACATTGACATGAAAATGGTCGATTAATAATTCATGCGGGGCAACGCTCCTTTCTCCAAGAGGCAAGCACAACCAATGTGGCGGCGCGCATCCCTCCCGTGTTTGTCTTCCCGCTTTGTTCGAAGTTTTCTTGCGTTTGTTGAAGTGAATCCGCTGCAAAACCGAAAATTTTCCAAGAGTTTGTGTGCGTTTGTTTCAGGGGACGTTCTTGAGTGGTGGAAGACTGCGCACGATTGATTGGGATGAGGGGGCAAAAGGGAGATTTCTCCTCACCTGTTCATGGGTGACGGGAATGAGTCTGTGTTTGGAAAGCTCCCTCATGATGTTGACGTCCGTCCTGAGGTCCAACTTGCAGCCCACCAGCACCACTTTGGCGTTGGGGCAGAACTCCTGCGTCTCGCCTTGCCACTGCAGAGGAGCCAAAGCCGTCTGAGCTTGGAAACGATGAACCACTCCAGCCAAAGCCATCCCAGATAAGCTAAGTTTTTTTTTTTTTGGGGGGGGGGTTGTGAATTGGAACAACGCTCACTTTCACATGGCGGAGCCGTTCCAAACTTTCTCTGTGGCGCGTCTCATTGTTTCCTCCCGTCCTGACACCGGCAAAGACTCCACTTGTACCCTTTCTGCTTGTCTACAAGGGGCTCTTTTCTCCCGGATTGTCCCGACGAGCCAAAGGCCGAGCAACCGCCCAAGGGCGGCGCTTGAGATGAGCACGTCATGCGCTTGGCGAGCGAAGGCACGGGGACCTCCGGGCACTTTCGAAAAGCGAGCAACTTGCGGTACTTGGCAATGCCTCTGGCAGTATGGTATGAATTCACGCTATATGACACACAGTGTATGGAAGATGCTGCTATTTTTAGCCTTGCCCTCCACTTGCCGCTTTCGCAAAGATTGTGAATATTTTAAATGTTGTTGGGTTTTTTTGTCCAGTTTGAGCCCAGTCAAATGGAAACTGCGCTTTCACACCTCGTAATACGTTGCGAGCATGGCTGATGATGTGTGACGCGGGGAGTCGGCCACTAATGCGCTCGTGTGGAATTTTCTCTTGATAGCCCAGCAGGGAAATTGGCTGGCATTGTGCAAGAAATGGACATTTCTGCCACGGCATTCAAGTGATATTTAGAAAGCCCCAGCGAATACTATATCGCCCGCCGAGTCATTTCTCCAATAGTGCAGATTTCGGAGGCAACAAAGGACACACAATTGAAGACTAGAAGCGATTCCAACTCGAGAGCTATTTTTCAAACTCTGGGGAGGAAGTTAAAAGGATAACTGAAGGGCAGCGTGATGGCTCACTCTGTCAGGCGCGGTTATGAAATACACACGGCGACTCGTCATCATCTTGGCGCAGATCGCTCAAGCACGTTTCATTGGCGCTCAGCCGATGCGTCACTTCGGCGTGCCTCTTGCAATTGTGTCAACTGGTATACGTGAGGGCCAAGTTCAAGTTTGGCGAGCGGAGAATTTTGTTCACCCTCGATTGTGACGCGCGCTTTTCCTTCGCTGCGCTGATGATGTCGCGTGATGAATGATGAGGGATGTCAGCCGAGTCATCAAAGGCTACTCGGAGACACGCCGCCCCCGTGGCATTTATCAACGCCCCAAATAATTGCATTTGAAATCGATTGGAGCGAAAAAAAAAACCAATTGGGATTTTCGCCCCCCCCCCCCCCAAAAAAAAAGCCACACTCACCTTTTTCAAAACACTGTCCAGCGTCTCCGGTCGGCTGATGTCGAAGCAGATGAGGACGGCGTCCGAATCCGGGTACGCTAATGGCCGCACGTTGTCGTAGTAGGCAGAACCTGTCAATGGGGGGTGAGGGGGGGACACATTGACAGCTCAACCCACCAACATTTACAGACGGATGACGGCATCTTATGCAATATAATGATAAAAAGAAGAATACATTGAATTTGTAGAGAAGAATACATTGAATTTGTCGAGCGCTTTACAACAGAACCCAAAGACGAGAGGACAAAGTGTTAGAAAGCAGCCAAACGCTCTTCCCGTCATCTGCATTTTTATTGCTGTCACCGTTAAGCGACCAAAATCGTCATTTTTATTCTGTTCCTTTTTCATATGAAGCCACCATCGGAATTTGATTCTGCACGGGCCTCAAAAATTGCTTTGCGGTCGGCCCCTCGGCTCCACCTCGCTCACTCTGGAGTACTCGATGCCCCCCCGGATACGCGGCGGTCGTCACTTTGCCGCCCATTGGACTTTCTGGCAAAGTTGTGACTAAGTAGCATGTGGACTGCGATTGTCAAGCACTCGCTGGCTGACGGTGATGAGTTCCGTTTAGCAGCATGGGACTCAAGCGAGGGCCGTGCGAGCGTTGCATCACGAATGGCTCGTCACCTGCAGGTTGACAATGCCCGGGGGGGGCAACCCTGAATTAGGGCCATTGTGGCAACATTCCAACGCCACTTGCGGCCCGGTCCGCAACACGTTGTGCTTTTGTGGCCCAAAAGACACAGCGTCAGCACGTTGACGGAGGATTCCAATAACCCCCCCCCCCCCCCCCCCCCAAATGGGCCTACTCGGTCAAACTCGCTTTTTACTATTCGATTGATGATGGGCTTTGTGTGTCTGTGTGTGTTGTTTTCTTCTTCAGAACAATCGTCGGCGGACACTTGCGAGTTGCGTCAGCTGGGATTTCCCGCTCGTTTGTTCATCTTTTTCCATTCATTTGCTAACTGCTAACTGGACGTGGAACCATGAACTCGGAGTTGAGCAAAGTGGAATATAAAGTTTGAATGAGGCAGAATGTCTCTGCTGAAACAACCTTTAATGAGCCCGACTGAGCACCTCTCAGATGCGCCCCCCCTAAAAAAAAAAAAAAACAACCGCAGGGCATATTTATCTCATCTGCGCTTCTACTAAATCTTGTTAGCAATTTTCACCGCTCTTATCGACTTCTTCTCACACTCCGTCGGCGCTCGGAGTGAAAATCCACCATTTATTTCGTCAGTCAAGCCGTAAGCTGTAAAAGAAGTGATAAGAGACGATCGGGGCGCCTGCTCTATCTCTTCGTCTTTGGCGACGCCGTGCATAATTCACGAGCGTGCGCCGACGCACACGTCCGCACACCTTGAAGGCCTCCCTGATGACATCTTCCATCACAGCGCAGTCATATTCCTGACTCTTAAAAGCACGTTTGTCCTTTTGTTGTTGTCGGAGTAGCCTTTCTCTCTTCCGCATTCCCGCTGTGTTATGGGATCGTTTTTTTTCCTCCAACTCAAATTGCAGCTTGATGTGATTATTATTCAGTAGCGCACAAACAAACAGAAGTCGAGTGCGGCTAATCGGGCGATGCGCGCCCGCACGTTTCAACAAACAGAAACGCCCCACTGAGATGATGATGTTTCTGCCTCTCACTTAAAATGGAACATTCCTTGATTTGTTTTGATCCCAGTTGTCCCTCTTGTTTGGTCTGAACACTCTGAAACATTTCTTGAGTTGTCAGAAATGAATCGCATCCGGAACATCGGGGCTAGTCTTCTGTCCTTAGCTTCAGCTAGCTCGATCGGCGCTAGCCTGAGCAGCCTAGCTAATGCTGCGTGTTCTTTCGAACCCTTTGTTTTGATTCCATTTTTATGCCAGCCCAAATGGTCGGTGGCAGGCACGGTTGGAAGGAAATATTGGACTGGCTTTGTCATTGGTTTCGTCTTTGAAGCGCGACTCTTCTTTTGTCCAACCGCAGTGTCTCGATTTGACCGCATTTCGTCACAGAGCACGGAAGAGGTTCCAGCTTCAACAAAAAAGACAACCAGCTACTTTTGCGACCATCAATTGAGCGTGCGAGGCTTATCAAGAGGAATTTGGGGGTTTTCAAATAATATCTCTCTCATCATATTTTGCCATCAATAAATAGGTGGATTTTCCGGATTGGCGCAGTTTGTTCGTACTTCAAATTTTGGTCAAAAGCACCTGTGTGGCACCCTCCAACATTTATTCAAGTTGCCCGCCATCACGGTTACTCAAGAAGGAGAAAAAAAAAGTGGGGATGTTTGCATCACAGTGCGTGTTTCCCCCAGCATGGATGTCAAAAGCCCGTCCGTCTTGTCTGGCGAGCTCTTTGTGCGCAAACCAGTTTGGTTTTCTTTTGCGGCTGTTTCTTACGGCCGTCCAAGTCAAAAACAGAAAACAGGCGAGCCGTGATTGGGCATGAACTGAGCCACTGCGATGTCATTTCCAGCCGACAGGAAGTGGGCAAAATGGCCGCTGGCCAAAAGCGGATGGATTTTGCCACTCCACTGCACAAGCGCCATCCGAATCAGAATGCCGTCGTTGGACTAGTGCGGGTGCAAGGAAATGTTGGTGTTGACTTCCCGTTCAAACAAACAAACAAAGAAACATCTTACCTGACGTGTCCCACATGTTGAGCTCGATGCGCTGCTTGTCGATCTCAAAGCTGGCGGTGTAGTTCTCAAACACCGTCGGGACGTAACTCTGCAAATGAGACCGGACCATATGAGACAAAGTCGAAAACATGCATATACCTCCAACGAGTATATATTCACTGATTATTTCAGTCATTAGGTTTGATGTTCACTCAGCAGCTCTTTATTACAGGTGATGGGGTTTTTTTAAGTGCTCGAAAAAAAAAAGTGATGAGTTGCTGTCATGCATTCAGTGAGTTGCTTGAGGCTACTGGTGTCGTCAAACCAGTGTTTAAAAAAAAAAAAAAAAGTATTTGTCATGCATAAATTGAAGGCCTCCCTGATGACATCTTCCATCACAGCGCAGTCATATTCCTGACTCTTAAAAGCACGTTTGTCCTTTTGTTGTTGTCGGAGTAGCCTTTCTCTCTTCCGCATTCCCGCTGTGTTATGGGATCGTTTTTTTTCCTCCAACTCAAATTGCAGCTTGATGTGATTATTATTCAGTAGCGCACAAACAAACAGAAGTCGAGTGCGGCTAATCGGGCGATGCGCGCCCGCACGTTTCAACAAACAGACGCCCTGCTGAGATGATGATGTTTCTGCCTCTCACTTAAAATGGAACATTCCTTGATTTGTTTTGATCCCAGTTGTCCCTCTTGTTTGGTCTGAACACTCTGAAACATTTCTTGAGTTGTCAGAAATGAATCGCATCCGGAACATCGGGGCTAGTCTTCTGTCCTTAGCTTCAGCTAGCTCGATCGGCGCTAGCCTGAGCAGCCTAGCTAATGCTACGTGTTCTTTTGAACCCTTTGTTTTGATTCGATTTTTATGCCAGCCCAAATGGTCGGTGGCAGGCACGGTTGGAAGGAAATATTGGACTGGCTTTGTCATTGGTTTCGTCTTTGAAGCGCGACTCTTCTTTTGTCCAACCGCAGTGTCTCGATTTGACCGCATTTCGTCACAGAGCACGGAAGAGGTTCCAGCTTGAACAAAAAAGACAACCAGCTACTTTTGCGACCATCAATTGAGCGTGCGAGGCTTATCAAGAGGAATTTGGGGGTTTTCAAATAATATCTCTCTCATCATATTTTGCCATCAATAAATAGGTGGATTTTCCGGATTGGCGCAGTTTGTTCGTACTTCAAATTTTGGTCAAAAGCACCTGTGTGGCACCCTCCAACATTTATTCAAGTTGCCCGCCATCACGGTTACTCAAGAAGGAGAAAAAAAAAGTGCGGATGTTTGCATCACAGTGCGTGTTTCCCCCAGCATGGATGTCAAAAGCCCGTCCGTCTTGTCTGGCGAGCTCTTTGTGCGCAAACCAGTTTGGTTTTCTTTTGCGGCTGTTTCTTACGGCCGTCCAAGTCAAAAACAGAAAACAGGCGAGCCGTGATTGGGCATGAACTGAGCCACTGCGATGTCATTTCCAGCCGACAGGAAGTGGGCAAAATGGCCGCTGGCCAAAAGCGGATGGATTTTGCCACTCCACTGCACAAGCGCCATCCGAATCCGAATGCCGTCGTTGGACTAGTGCGGATGCAAGGAAATGTTGGGGTTGACTTCCCGTTCAAACAAACAAACAAAGAAACATCTTACCTGACGTGTCCCACATGTTGAGCTCGATGCGCTGCTTGTCGATCTCAAAGCTGGCGGTGTAGTTCTCAAACACCGTCGGGACGTAACTCTGCAAATGAGACCGGACCATATGAGACAAAGTCGAAAACATGCATATACCTCCAACGAGTATATATTCACTGATTATTTCAGTCATTAGGTTTGATGTTCACTTAGCAGCTCTTTATTACAGGTGATGGGGTTTTTTTAATGTGGCACCCTCCAACATTTATTCAAGTTGCCCGCCATCACGGTTACTCAAGAAGGAGAAAAAAAAAGTGCGGATGTTTGCATCACAGTGCGTGTTTCCCCCAGCATGGATGTCAAAAGCCCGTCCGTCTTGTCTGGCGAGCTCTTTGTGCGCAAACCAGTTTGGTTTTCTTTTGCGGCTGTTTCTTACGGCCGTCCAAGTCAAAAACAGAAAACAGGCGAGCCGTGATTGGGCATGACCTGAGCCACTGCGATGTCATTTCCAGCCGACAGGAAGTGGGCAAAATGGCCGCTGGCCAAAAGCGGATGGATTTTGCCACTCCACTGCACAAGCGCCATCCGAATCCGAATGCCGTCGTTGGACTAGTGCGGATGCAAGGAAATGTTGGGGTTGACTTCCCGTTCAAACAAACAAAGAAACATCTTACCTGACGTGTCCCACATGTTGAGCTCGATGCGCTGCTTGTCGATCTCAAAGCTGGCGGTGTAGTTCTCAAACACCGTCGGGACGTAACTCTGCAAATGAGACCGGACCATATGAGACAAAGTCGAAAACATGCATATACCTCCAACGAGTATATATTCACTGATTATTTCAGTCATTAGGTTTGATGTTCACTTAGCAGCTCTTTATTACAGGTGATGGGTTTTTTTAAGTGCTTGGAAAAAAAAAGTGATGAGTTGCTGACATTCATTCAGTGTGTTGCTTGAGGCTACTGGTGTCGTCAAACCAGTGTTAAAAAAAAAAGAAGTATTTGTCATGCATAAAAAGCGCATGGATTTTACGTGGACTTGTCATGGCCAAAGAAAATAATCAAAATAATGTCAGTATTTTCATGTCATTCATTTTTTAAATCACATCATGCTTATACTGTATATGATGAAGAAATACTTACAAATAAGTTTAAAAAAAAGACAAAGATAAATCACAACAGGTTCAAATGTTTGGGGCCACCCAGACAATTGAATGTCTTCCATGAAAGCAATTTTATATGTGCACTACCGTTTAAATTTATGGGGGGCGTCTTAAAGCAGAAATTATTTTTTGAAGAAAAGCACATCCATCCTTTGCACTGCCGACATTGTCATTCCGATTCGTTTAGTGTGACATTCATGAGACGGGAGCACGGTGCCTTTCTTCAGAAAAATAATACATTCAACATTTTTGAGTGAGTGAATCCAAACTTTTGAACAATCGAGTCTAAATGACCGAAAAGAATCCAGATTTCCTCGCGCGTCACGCGTAAAAGCGCTCACGGACTTGCCACCAACTCACCGTGGCCAAAACAGATCCTGATGTCTTGCACGCTTACCTCTGAGTACGAGTCCTTGGCGAAAACGTGCAACAGGGCCGTTTTGCCACACCGCGTGTCCCCGACCACCACCATCTTACACCGCAGCGGTCCTTTCACCTCCATCGCGCGTCCTGTGCGGAGAAAGTCAGTGCGTGCCTCTTGTCATTTAAGCTGCCCTTCGAACACCCTACGCCAGCAAAACATCAACGATAAAAAAAAAAACACAAACAAAAACAAAACAAGTGTAGCCTTGGCGAGCACCCGTGAATGTTCGGACTTTACAAAACCAACTTGTTCAGCTACACGGACGTGCGTCAACGGGGAGGGAGAAGGGGAGCGTATGAGTGTGATGAGCTGCGCGTTCCGAAGCGCAGCAAGAGGAAGGCGGTGCTGAAAAATCAAGCCAGAGTCCCTGACCAGGTAGGTTCCGGTTTGCCATCACAGTAAGTATTCAAAATAGAACCCGTGAGAAATTCCAGTCGTGTTCCTACTCCAGTGACCCGGACTTTGTTTTACTTTGAAGGTTAATTCATGCTCGGCGATGAAACAAAGGGAAAAAAAAAGTCAAACCACAACGTATAGGGAGCCCACGACAGCTTCCGGATGCATTTCTGAATCCCTTTGGCGCCATCTTGTGCCAAAAGGGAACAAGGTAACGATTCCCTTTCAGTTCGAGTTGGTCATCCATGAAGGTTTTTACAACAAAATCATGTAGAACTAACTTGGCCGATGTGTAAACTGAACCGTGGGGAATCTTGTTTTAGGGAAAATGAGGTGATCTTGTTCAAATTAGAGCTGTTGCTGTCCAGTAACATTTTAAACCATTTTTTAACCATTGAATTTGGTCACGTTTAACATTAGATTTTTCAAAAAGACGAAAATTGTCAAAATCGCTTTTTTTTTTACAGTTGCCATTCGTTTTGAAAATAGATGATCGGATGCTTGTTTTGATGACAAGCGTTCAACTAAGCCTTTATTCTGAAAACCGGAAGTGGTGTCAAACCCCGCTCGCCTTTGATGAATGACCACTTGTTGGGAGCGCACGTTGACTTGACGACGCGCCGTACACTCAAATGGCCAACTTTGTTCTGCGAGCACTTCCTCCGCCCTCAGCTCACACGAAAGCTGATAACCAGTTCGATTGCATGTTTTCTCGCTGAGCCGCACGCAGGCCCGAGCAATCCGTCGCCGAAAGTCGTCATGTCTGCCCAGGAGGCTCCGCAGCCGCCCCCCGGGGAGCAGCCTCTGTCGTGCCGGTCACTGGTGCTCACGGGCTACGGGGGCTACGACAAAGTCCAGCTGCAGGTGAAGCCGATCGGCCGGCCCAGACTGAAGCCCGACGAGGTCCTGGTGCGGGTCAAGGCCTGCGGGCTCAACTTCGCTGAGCTGATGGGCAGACAGGGTCTGTACGAGCCGCTGCCAGCCCCGCCGGTCACCCTGGGCATGGAGGGGGCCGGGATCATCGAAGCGGTCGGAGAAGAGGTGCGGGACCGAAAGGTGAGGACGGACAAGCGACTTTGCTCATTCTTAGGTACAGCGTGGCAATTTTTTTTCGATATGTTTGTGAGGAGGGGTGGCAACCCCGTCTTTTCGAAAATATTAGGGGGTTATTGTTTTTTTTTCAATGCATTTGCTTTGGCTGCCAGCCGGGTCCACTTTATGTTCAATCAGTGGCAGACGACATCGGCGGCTGGGGCTCTCCTTTCCCATGGGTGAGGGCATTACAGTACCTTCATAAATGCTTTTGCTTTTACTTCACTCGAGCCGAACGCAAGTCAAATTGTGGTTTTGCATTGGGGGATCGACCAAGTTGGAACTTGACAATTTGGAGATAGGAAAAGTTGTCTACTTGTAAGTCAAGGTACTACTGAACACCATGACATTTTAAATCTGTGAAGAAATGTGCCCCTTTGCTTCCAATTCAGTGTAATAATTAAATGTTGATTCGTTTTATGTTCTCAGAAACGTCTGATCAATTCTGCTTACGGCGGTTGTATTCATTGACTTTATTTCCCGTCGAATCCTCAGCTGACCCTTTTCGCCACAACGAAGGTCACAGGGCAAGGAGAATTAATAGTGCCGTGTGATCAAAGTCGATCTATGACGGGTGTGTTTATCTCGGGTAATAAAATGAGACGCCAATACGTGCGCTTGGAGCGAGACGCTCTCCATTTGGTGCCATCGACGCAGCCCGGCTTTCTTTGTGGCTCTCTTGCTCCATCCCGCAATGCTGTTTGCGCCCAATGAAACGCTCCACATTATTTGCAGACATCTTCATGTCAAACGAAGTTGGCGTGGCTCTTTCATAAACTGCAGATGTGTTGCGCCGTCGCGCGCCATTTGGAATTGTTCATCAACAAAATGGGGACTTTATTTTGCTTAAGCCCCCGAAACGCTCGCGTGTCTTGAAGCAATTGAGGCCAATACGGATGCCACTTTAAACCTAGAACCCGAGGGGAAAATAACAGTATTTTGTCGTTGGAACCCTTTAGGTCGGGGAGCGCGTGATCGCCATGAGCCGCAGCGGCATGTGGCAGCAGCTGGTGGTGGTGAGCGCCAGCCGCGCCTTCCCCATGCCCGAGGGCATGAGCTTCGAGGAGGGCGCCGCGCTGCCCATCAACTACCTGACGGCGTACTTGATGCTCTTCCACATGGCCAACCTCACGCCGGGCAAGAGCGTGCTGGTTCACATGGCGGCGGGTAAGCCAAATGGGCCGGCGCGAGAGCGAGGCCTTGGATTTATGCTGCCAATAACTGATAGTGGTTTGATTAATCATTTGCAGGCCACAGTAAGATGCCAATGTTTGTTTTCGAGGACTCTTGGTCATGAAACGCTAACGCCATACGTTCTATTTCGTCTTTTAAAAAAAATGTCGAAATTTGACACTACAGAGAAGAGCGTTTGTCAATTGCCCTCCCAAATTTGAAGGATTAAAAAAACCCAAAACGCCAGGTGTATCAAATGGGGCTTCCAATTTGTGACAAATCAAGCCATCTCTCCCCTTGTGAATGCTGTGGGCGTGTCCGCTGAATGCCGAAACTGCTGACGCTCACAGCTGACAACGAGGCACCCGAAAGCAACCACATGAGCACGGAGCCGCGGTCCGCGCACCGGCAGAGGTCAGTAAAAAGTCAAGTCTTGCATCGTGCCCGCAGGTGGCGTGGGCATCGCCGCCACCCAACTGTGTCGGACGGTGCCCGACGTGACCGTCTTTGGCACGGCGTCCGCCTCCAAGCACGACGTCATCGCCCAGGTGGGCGTGACTCATCCCATCGACTACCGGACCAGAGACTACGTGGAGGAAATCCACAAAATTAGCCCAAAAGGTCAGTCGCTGCCCTTTCCTGACTTCTTGTCATATTCATTTGAAACTGTTTCTGCTTAATATGCTGCGTGTGTGTTTTATTCAAGAGCCAAGATGGCGCCGGTAGCACATGATCTTCTTCATCCTTCGGCGTTCTTCCTGTTTTGGCCCACTTGTGTTCTCCTTTGCAGGAGTGGACATTGTCCTGGATCCACTCGGCGGCGCCGACACACAGAAGGGCTTCAACTTGCTGAAGCCTTTGGGCTCGCTCGTTGTATTTGGTGAGCAAAATAAAGGGCTTGAATTGCCACGGCAAAATCAACGACACGAATCAACCCCGAAAGTTCATGTATGACACGAATTGACAAAGATGACGACGACGAAAAACAATTTGCTGAGAACTAGAGCGGGTGCGGGGGGACTGACTGCCACATTGAATGGCGCGCGCCAGGTGCCGCCAACTGCGTGACGGGCCAAAAGAGGAGCCTGCTGGCCCTGGCGAAGACGTGGTACAAACAGCTGTCGATCAACGCGCTGAAGCTGATGGAGACCAACAAGGCGGTGTGCGGCTTCCACCTGAGCTACTTGGATGACCGGCACATTGACGCGGGCATGGCCTCGCTGCTGCAGCTCTACGCCGAGGGCAAGATCAAGCCTCGCATCGACTCCTGCTTCCACTTTGAGGAGGTGCGTTGAACGCAAGTGTCGGGAAAACGTGTCCGCTCGGGAAACACGCCCAGCAAATTGACGTGGTCAAAGATGGCATCAAATAGCGGCCATCGCCGGTGATAGACCCATTAACTGCTCCGCAGGGAATTCTTCATTTTCACCTAAAAAAAAACATGATTTATTGACCACAAGTAGTCGCATGTTCCCCCACTGTATTGCGTTTGCGACAGCTTCTTTAGGCTAGTATGCTAGCGAACTGATGAGCCTCATGTTGTGAAGGTTGGTTGCTGCTATGGAATAATTTAGCCACTCAAGAGAGTCGTTTATGAAATGCAAGATTGATCTGTTCCATTTTTATATATTTTATTTTTATTTTTTCTGGTCTTTCTCCGCAGGTAACAGATGCAATGCGGCGCATGCACGAGCGTCAAAATATCGGGAAGGTCATCCTTCTCCCAGAGCCCAAAAAGCAGAATGATGAGACGACAGTAAAGAAATGACATCATCGAAGGATTGAGTAATATTGGATTTTCCTACGATGCTTTCTCCAACTACTCATTTATCAGAATTTTCTTTTAACAGTATTTGCCCTTTTTTTAAAACAAGTTATCACACAATGTCCATAATTGTGATCAGCATTTGTATTTTGATTCATAAAACTTATTAAATGTCTTCACTGTATTGCAGTAACTACAATTGTTTTTTTTCTAAATTGTCCATACAGTATATGTGAATAAATGGTTGTTTGACTATATGTGGCCCAGATGACGTTTCCTCCAACGGTTGGGACGACAAGTTTTGAGATGTATTTTGACACTTATTTTGTGGAACGAAAATTAGAATTCAAGCTATAACTGTATTTAATGCCTCTGATAATTGGGGGACGAAGTGCGGCAACCGAACTAATTTCTCACCGTCCGTAACCTCATAAGTTTCCACTTCTTTCCGGACCATAGCGGAAGTTTTAATTATTTTTATTTTGAAAGGATGTGACGGAAGTGACTTGCCGTTGTACGTCGACCTTGACGCTATGCCTTTAAGAGAGAATACCCTCCTGTGAGTCGTTGGCGTCATCATAGATGTACCTACGTCGACTCTTCATTGGGTGGAGTAGCGTACGTCGACGTCGCCGCCATCCTGGATGTGGCCGAGTGGAGCGCTGGACTGCCTCATTCATAAAATAACCGTTTTTTCACAAAACCATGTTATCTTTCACAGGTAAGACTGAGTTGTGAATTTCGATTATTTTGGACGGCATATGGCCTTCAGAATGTATTGATTTTGTGACTTTATCAAATCACTGTAAAGAGTTAAGGGCTTTTTTCCCTGAAAGCGCTTTGTAGTTTCGGTTTGAAGTTACGCTACATTTAATGTAGAATGACTTTTAACTTAGTTCGCTACATCTGCCAAGTAACTTGTCCAACACTGTTGAAATAATTGTGCCTTCGTCCTGATTCACGGCGCGACTGGGCACATCCAACATGGTCGACGAGTTACGTATGGTGGAGCGCTCCACCGCGCTTAATGTATGTCTATGTTTATAACTGCCGCCGCCTCCCTCCAGCGAACTGCTGCAGCGGTGGCAAAGAGCCTGTTAACAGATCCTGTTGTCACTGGGATGCGGCTGCTGCCTCGTCGGTAAGGGCCTCTCTCTCGCGTCTCTTACCGCCTCCGCTTTTAATATGTCCATACCAAACCAACACGTTTGCGCGTGTGAGGCGTGAGCCCCCTCCGAGCGGCCAACGTCCGGTTTATGATGACTTTCAGTGGTGACCCCCGTATGCCAAAATAGCGGCACTGGGTTATAATTAGAGTGTGCAGATATGTCCGCGACATACTCTCTTGTCATTCATTCATGAACGAGTGGACTGTCATATCTTCACTTTGGGGTTGTCAAAACGAGGGTGGGCTCCATCCAATTCGGTCCGCTGTTAATTTTTTTTTTTTGGGGGGGGGGTGACCCATAGGTATTTTTAACCCTTTAAAATTCGTCATTATGTTCCATTACTTATTTGCACTTACGCTTAGTTATACTTAGTTACTTAGTAGTTTGTAGCATTACTTTGAGAAAGTGATCAGTTATTGAATAGCTTGACGGAGCGTTCAGATTCCATGAATATCCCACGCGGTAACATGCTTTTTATGAGCTGTAATCACATTATAATGACATTCACAACAAGAGTTTGAAATGACAAAAATATCATGAATGTTCTTGTTATCTTGCGTTTGTGGGCACCTAACAAAATTTCAACAAAGTAGGTCCCGAACAATTCATCGCTGCCTGATTTTAATCAATCAATTTTAGATCCTTAAAAATCACAGGTTTTTTTCTGTTTTTTTTTGGGGGGGGGGGCGCTAATCTTTTTTTTCTCCAAGCATTAACACAATACAACATAAGACAAAGAGTGTCATTCAACGCCCCCCCCCCCATCCATTCCATTTTTGTACTCAGAAAAAAGCTTTGTCTAATATAGAAATGTCATTCTGGCGCCATCTTGGGACCAAGGAACTCTGAAGTTAAGGGAGGTGCTTCATTTAGTAATGCCTGAGCCCTATCTAATGGAGAAGAGTGTTTGCCGCCATTTTGTGGCATATGTAGGCTGTTAAATTATTCTCCTCATGCCCTCTGTGGCCTTTTCCTCCGTGCCCCCTGCACCCCATGAATCTATCTCTCTTGTCCCCGTTTTTATGTAGCCCTCTGGTCCTGATTTAGTCCATCCTCTGCCCCACTTCTTCACCTGATCTGCAAAAAACAGCTCTCAAACTAGCGTCAGTTGTGACATGCACCGCCACTTGCGTAAGGGCGTGCGCAACACTTAATTTCTGTGAGATAAACAAAGTACTGGCAGAAGACACATTCCATACCCAGCATTCTTTAGGCACTGAGGTTATGGCTGGAGAATCATAAAAAAAAAAAAAAAAAAAAAAAAAAAATCCTTTCCTTCGCCTCCCTGTGTGTCAACTCAACACGACTCATTCTAATATAATTTGCATGTTTTGGCGTGTCCTCAGCCAGGTGTGGTCCTCTGGAGGTTGTTGAGTTGAACTCATAAAAACTGGTCTTTTCAGGTAAGTTGTATTTGCGAGGAACATGGCGCCAGCTGCTTTGGTAGTCAATTCTGCTGTTATGAAAGCGCACACATGGCATTCATTAGTAAAAACGGATCAACAGAATTTTTTTCTTTTTTTTTTTTTTCCCCTTGGCATGTCAAAACATTTGATTGGTCATATGTTGCCTGGTAGAATTCTTCGGGCTCAGTCATGACTAACCCAAAAAGGCTGATAATGGTTGCCAGTGAACGTACAATTGTAGCTAGTTAATATACAGAGCAAGGAAGAATAACAGACTTTTGGGCGGGGGGGGGGGGTACAACTTTGATTGGCTGCCTGTTGCTGGGGAAAATTTGTCAGGCTCACTCACAACTGTGCCAAAGGGCAACAAATTTCGCAGCAGATTTAGATGTTTCGCTGTGTAGCAAACAGCATCACGGGACAACGGAATCGTTTTATTTCTCCCTTCCGCCGAACACGTGATGAAGTAGGCCAGAGTTCAGTCCTAACTTCCCCATAGGCCAACGGATTTCGAAACTGCATGAAATGTTGATGTTTCTTTGAGCAAACAAAGGAACCGAAATCAACTACTTTGCCGTTAAAGTATGTTTGGACATAGTTGATGGGCTGCTTGTTCCTTGGCAGAATTCAGGGGCTTCAAACTTAGCCCCCGTGACGGCCGATGGATTTTACGCGTTGGCTTCCTAACAGACGTGGCAACATTAGTCACCGGGAATCCAGTATTTTTTGTGCAGGTTTGATTGGCCGCTTGTTGCACGGGAGAAGTCGCAGCCCCTCCATCGTAACGGCACCGTTTGCCAATTGACGCTTGGGCGCGACCGCTGGATTCACGGCCAATCTAACGGCGACACTTTGTTCGCAGTGAGCCGAAGGAGGACCGAAGATGAGCGCGCAGCCTCAACCGCGTTTCCTGGTCCTGTTCGACTTTGACGAGACCCTCGTGAACGAGAACAGCGACGACGCCGTGTTGCAGGCTCTGCCGGGCCAGCAGCTCCCCGACTGGTTGAAGAGCGGCTACCGCGAGGGCCACTACAACGAGCACATGCAGCAGATTCTGGCCTACATGGCCGAGCGGGGCGTGTCGCGCGACGCCATCCGCTCGGCCGTGGAGAGCATCCCGCCGGCGCCCGGCGCCCTCGCCCTGCTGCACTTCCTCCAGGGCCACCAGCGCGACTTTGAGCTGGCGGTGGTCTCGGACGCCAACATGTACTTCATCGACACCTGGCTCAAGTGCGCGGGGGTGCGCCACCTCTTCCGGAAGATCTTCACCAACCCGGCCAGCTTCGACGCCGGCGGCCGGCTGGTGCTGCTCCCGTTCCACGCCCACTCGTGTCCCCGTTGCCCCGACAACATGTGCAAGCAGGTCATTCTGAGGGAGTACCTGGCCCTGAGGCAAAAAGAGCGCGGCGCGCCCTTCCAGCAGGTGTTTTACGTCGGAGACGGCGCCAACGACATGTGCCCCTCGCTGGCCCTGGGGCCCCGTGACACGGTCTTCCCGAGGAAGGACTTCCCGATGCACGCGCTGCTGAAGTCCGAGGGCGCCAAATTCAAGGCCAACGTGGTTCCCTGGACCAGCGGCCAAGATGTCATGAACTGTCTCGAGAAAATCGCGGAGGAGAGATGATCGCGGACGTGGCGGCAAAAGAACCACGACAAAGGTGCTGTAATCGTATGCAGTAAATCGGAGAGAAATCTCCCTAGTGTTTGGAAAACAAAAAACAACAAGCTGTGTCGAAACAAGAACAAGTGTTATGTACGGAAGCAGATATGCCAACTGAGTTTGAATTTTACCTCTCGTGGCAAAATCAAGCATTGAATTTTAGAAAGCATCAAAATGTTTTTATAAAAAAAAAAAATGACATTTAAAGAAACAAACATGTAACAATTTTGCGTTTTTTTTTTTTTTAATGAAATGTGACAGCATCTCAAAATGTTCAGTTTGGATTTACACACACATTTTTCAGTTCTGTTTTTTTTTTTTTTTTTTTTTTTTTTTCCTATTCAGAGTTCTGGTTATGCTAAAAATGATTCGGTAAGACATTAAAGGGGAAACGCACATCTAGTGGACCCCCGTTGTTCACGGGGCATTGGGACCTGGCCCAACAGAGGGTGGCAAAAATGCAAAAAAAAAAAAACCAAAACCCCAAAACAAAACGCAAATCAGTGAATCCGCAAGTATGTGGGGGGAGGAGGGGGGTCCACTATTGTTTTCATGTTAGGTTGTATTACTGAGCCACATTATTGCTAATGCTAAGCTAGGCTAACAGGATGCTTATTGCGCAGGGGACCCAATGGTGCATTAATGGTGTTAAGTGTTGAAAATCTACCATGAACTATGATAATCACGATAACGACAGTTCCAGACTTCCATCGAGTATGTGAATCTTGAATGCAGCGAATGCTCAAGCAGACATTCAGCGTGTCGGGATCAGGTGCGAGACGTGCAGCGTATCGGGTCGGCACGAGTGGATCGAGTGACACCAGAAAGAGGCGAGACCTAATCTCCTCGGCTGCAATCTACACCAGCATATAAACAACAGCGCTTGCACTTTGGCCCCGCAATGGAAAGTAGAAGTGAAGTCGGGTTTCCAAAGTGGGGATCGCTGCGCTCATTCTCGTACGGTCACACGCTTGGGTCCAGTGTTATTGCTTGGCCATTTTGATCCACGCATTGCATCTTTCATTGCACTTTGAGGGGAAAAATGTGATGTGAGTTCAATCATTTTTCATCAGATTCAAATGGGCTCCCAGTACAGCGCGAGCACCTTTTGTCATCATGCGCTTGAAACAACAAATCGGACAGTGTTAGCCCAATTTCTTCGCTTTCTTGCAAATGCAGACTCAAGATTAGAGTTCAAATGAATTTTATTTTAAATGAGTTCACTACTTTCAAGACATGCCACAATCGTCCCTTTTAGAAGTTTCTCAGGGAGAAGAGTGGGAGAGGGAAAAAAAGTTCCTCCATCGGACCAATGTTTGAAACACAACTTTCAAGTCCTGCAAATGACATCATTTACGTAGGTCTCCATTTCGGGTTTCTATAGACGCATCTCATTGAAATCTGCAATAATGAAACATGATACACAATATGGTGTGTCAGATCTATAAGGGAAAACACAGATTCCCCCCGTCCCTCACTACTTTTGCTTTAATGAAGCACCGCATACCCCTGCTCGACTTTTCCTTTCCTTTGACTTGCTGTATTTGGATTTCAAAAATGGATGGAACACAACATTGAAACAGGAATATAAAAGCCATCATATCATCAGTCACGCCCTCTTGAGTGCTTATTCCCGTCTTGTCAGCTCCTAAACACGCACACACATACAATTTTTTATTATATCTCGTGCGTGCGTGTGTGTGTGTGTGTGTGTGTGTGTGTGTGTGTGTGTGTGTGTGTGTGTGTGTGTATATATATATATATATATATATATATATACAAAATAGGTTACATCGTGTCATTTAAATGAATGACTCCACATTTGCCTTGATCCATAGGGGGGTCCACTTTACACTCATTCATAGTTTGACCTTTATTACTCCCTGCAAACTGTACGGTCACACATATCATGTAGCAGTCTTCCACTGCATTCACTTCAACCTGTGTCATTATTTTGAGTATTTTTTGGAGACAACAAAGAATAAATACAGTATTTCCACGTCACCTAAGTTTTGAGAATTCATTTTTTGTAGGCGGCACTCTAATGCAACATCGTGCCGGAAGTGACCCGTTCTCCGCCGGTGTTGTTTTTTTTTTTTTTTGAAAATCGGCGGTAGCTCGTTTGTCAGTCGATTTTTTGGAGGAGTCTTGACCTCAACCAAAAGTCTTTAAATACAAACTTCGCAAAGGTAAGTAGCGCAGACTTCATTTCTCCCGGTGGCACGGAATATACCGGGGTCCTAAAATGACCGGTTCCGTCTTGTAAATTTGACAGACGCGGCTTGGTTTGTCGAAGTTGAAGCTAACGAGCTTAGCCGCTCTCAAGCTAGCACCGAGTTGGCTCGATTTGTCGCGTGGCATTACTTTTTAAAAACATATTTTTAGCACTTATTAGATCTCAATCTAACCCCCCAAATTATCCAATACCCTCATGCCCTCAAATGATTTTTTTTTTACTCGCGACTTGGATGTCGGCATATTCTGCATGCTTAATATGTCCGCTGAGTGGACAGTAATTGACAACCACTTTGGCTGCTGTATTGTCTCGAATGACATTTTGCAGGATTTTTTTTTCTTTTCACTCCCAAGTCATTAATAAATGGTTGATCGTTATTACTAATAATGAGGATAAAATGTAAACAATGGTAACTCTGTATTTGAAGTGCGTCGCAAATCAAAAGGTCGACAAGCCTTTGACAATCACATTGACATTGACAACAACCGTAACAGACATTAACTTAAAATATCTTCCGACTGTCAGCAGCAAGCACTATCAGCGAATATGATCAGGTTTCTGTAGTCTTCCATTTGAGCCCTTTCAGTACCGTAATCCGTTTTTACAACTTCAGACTTGCCCCAAAATTTGTTCGTTATTTTAAGAAGAGAAGGGCACAGGGGTTAACAAATGACCCGATGGATAATGTTAAATGTTTCTAACTTAACCCTGCACCATCAGGAATATCATGCTGCAGCAGTGTGCAGAGCAGCCAGGACTTTTGGGAAAACTTCATCCTGGGGAGAAGAAGCTGGAGGGGAAGACCTTCTATTTGGACAATGTGAAAAAACGTCTCGCAGCCCTGCTTTTGGAAGCCATCACTGTCCTTGGAGGGGTACGTCACATGTCTTACGATGTTCACCGTATGCATAGAGGGCCGTCACCACCAGAAACGACTGAGCCTTTCTTTTTTTCTTCTTCTCAAAGAGCGTGGAGAGCTTCCTCCACAGAGATGTGAGCTTTGTGGTTACGGGAAGTCAGGGGGGCTTGGAGGAGAAAAAGCTTGCAGGAAGCAGGAGGAGCGATGAGCCCCAGCGGCCCGTCCAGCAGCGAGAACGTGGTCTCGACGGCGGCAAGCGGCGACCAGGAACTCTTCGGCCAGCGGTACGACCGCGATTGTTTACTAATGCTCATGACAGAACTGCAGTCACTCACCACTTGTATGAGTTAAAAAAGACAAAGTCTGCGTTGCGCACCGTGCAGTCAGTGTTTTTGATTAACTTTGACTGTCCAACTGTGTTCTCCAGGCTTGTGGCAGCCGAGGAAAAGCCCTGCTTGAAAAAGCCATTCGCAACAATGTCAGTCGCCGATCAACAGACTTTGACATCTTTGCCATTTTGTCCTGAACAGAAATGTGATCTTATTTTGTAGGAGCGGCTGCAGGCGAGCAACGTGTTGTCAAACGCCCGTTCGTGGGGAGTGAGCATTGTTCACGCGGATGGTATCCTTCGCCGTGCAATGGCACAAATGAATGCGGGTGGCAATGAACCTGACTTCCAGCAGGTGGCGCCTCGCGAGTGCTTATTTCAAGGCATCCTCCAGATTGAGGCGTCGAAGATGATGATCATGAGGACGGCGGTGAAATGTTTGATTTGCCTTTGAAATGAAGTGTTCCTTAATGCTGCCTGCCGTAGATGTTCTTATTTACCTGAAGAAGCTGAACCGTGAGTGTGCCCTCGTGAAACCCAGCAGAGCCGAGGTAAGCCAAGTCGTGAAAGATACTCAAATCAGCCGTATTTTTAGAGCTCTTTGAAACAACCAGCGCTGTATACAAAGTGCCGTGCATGGAGCAAAAACAATTCAAAGCAACAACAAACACTCAAGATGAAGACACTAAAACTAAAACTCAAGCTTCATACGGCGTCAAATGCCGAAGAATCAAAATGAGTTTGAAGACGAGTTTTATAGAGGGGCAGCGAGGGGGCTTTCCGAACGTTCGGCGGGACGTCCTTCCAAAGAGAAGGACCGGCGACGGAAAAAAGGCTCCATCCCCTCTGAGCCTCCGCTTCGTTCACCGTACCTCTCATCGGCACCGGGCGGGCGCGGAGGAGCTCAGCCCAGGCCATTTCAAAATTTGAAAACAAACAGTCGGATGTTCACGACAACTCTAAAATGTATCGGGAGCCAGTGAAGGCATGCCAGAGTAGGAGTGGTGCGCTCCCCCTTACGAGTACCGATCAAGAGGCGTGCAGCAGCGTTCTGCACCAACTGGAGGCGCCTCATGGGGGAATGGCTGACTCCAAAGTCAGGTTCATGACAGTCATTCCGCCGAGATGTGACAAGGGCATGAATTGCAAATGGAGGTATTTGGAATCCAAGCAACATCCCATCCATTCAACTTTGCAGGTTCCACTGCGGTTGGCTGTAAATGAGTATCACGGAGGTCTTTACACGTCGGGTGCATCATTCTTAGGATTGCTGTGTGTAAATAAGTGAATGTGTGCCTTTTTCGCAGAGGACTTCCAGCAAGCAGCCCTCTTGCCGTGGTGTCAAAGGTCAGCGAATTTGTCCTAAATAGGCTAACGCAGTCACACCCGATCTGATTTGCCTTCATGTCTTGTGCTTTGTGTTTGACAGCCGCGCCCCTGAGATCTCCTTTCCTCAAAATTGAAGACGTCAGCAGGTGAGTGGGATGCGAGCATACGGTGATCACAGGAGCCCTCGCAAGTCCGCGTGAGGACGAAACTGATTTGAGATGAAAGGAGTTCGCCCCGCCGCTCCTCCTGTGCAAAAGTAGACCACGCGGCGCTCGAATGGAGAGGTTTCGACTTTCCTCAGTGTGCCTGATGACAAGGAGCAGAATGGAATGTAACATGACGACCTTGCGCCCCGCGGCAGGGTGCCCCGAACCCAGCCGGATCGCGTTTCTCGTTGTGCTCCCGCCGGGGACGTGTACACTCGCAACTCTTTTCATTTCGCCTCTCGTCTGTGCTCATCAAACTGCTCTTCACTCATGCATGTCCAATGCGAGTGTAAGTAAGTGCACTGAGGCGAAGGAAATAGTTGAGCAGATGAACTGCTTTTGCTGGTGTGGGTCGGAAGGAAGGGAAATCACTCTTGGTTTGATTTGGACTTGATTTTCGATGACACGTGCATTGAGATTGACTCTGCGATATTCATTGAACAAGGCGGCGGCTCTTAGCAGTTGCCGTTTTCAGTCGTGTGAAATGTCACTGCATCGTTCGATAGTCATTCGAGCGGTCTCAAGACGAAAGTCGTTTTGTTTCATGCAACCAGGAAGTACAAGCCCCTGCACCTGCAGTCCATGTGCTTCCCCTCCTTGTGCTACTTGGGCCGGTTCAGTCCCTTCGAGTCGCCGCCCCCTACTCGCCTTGAGAAGACGGCGCAGCGATCAGGGTTGGTCCGGCAAATTTGCTCGCCTACCTCATGATGAATCCCGCCGCGGATGTGTCATGATGCTTGTGTTTGTGACCGTCAGGCCAAAGAGCAAAGTGGAATGCGGCAGTAAGGACAAGTCTCAAAGCCTGTCGCCTTGGCCCCCGCGCAAGAAGAACATCTCTTACTGTGAATGTTGCCTTCAGTCCTTCGCTAACCTGGCGGAGGTGACTGACTCGTTTCCTACACGTTGGCGTGACGTCTTGAGACTTGAGTGATTCGATTTGTCTTCCTTTGTCTTCTGCAGCACTTGCGGTCTGATCAGCATCGCGCCTTTGCCACGGAGAGCTCCAATTATGGCGCCTTGGAGCATCTTGTGCTCAAAATGGTTCCCGCGTTCGACCTCGGTTCTTCCGAGCAAGCCGACGAAGTGCCAAATAGGTACCTTGTGTCGTCCCGACGTCTGAGTCGTTCCGTTCTTGGCTCCAGAGCTCGTCGTAAAATAGGCGGCGGCTAATTTGTCCAAATGTGACCTTTGTAGACCGCCAGATGCTCCGCCCCTCCCAGACCATTGTGAACTTGTGCATCTGACTGACGCCGAGATGGAACATGAAGTTCGGGCCTTGAAAGGACGATCCTCCTCCTCAATACCTGCTCTGAATTGTCCTCTTCAGTCCAGGAGGTCGCCCGACAAAATGGATCCCGTGCCGAATCCGACCCCGACATCAGCTGACATCCAGTGCCCCAAACCCGATGACCTCGCCTGTACTGCAAGTGGGCCCTTCCCGGTTTTCAACACGGCACCGCAAGGCCTTTCTCCTTTGCCGCTCTCCCCGTGGCCCGCTGCACAAGATCGAGCGTTTGACCCGTACTCCGTGCCTCCGGTCCTCAGCCCGCAAGTCTTCACTGCCGACGACATGGAGACCCGAAGTCTATACTCGGAACCTCCTGTCCTCAGTCCTCAATATTATGAATGTGAAACGGAGACGACTCAAAGTGGGTCTGAATCGCTTCCCATCTCTTTCTTCCCATTTCCTTCTGCGGTTGCGTCCGGTCCGGAAGAAGTGAAGGGCTCCCATCCAGTTTTAACCGAGCCCCCGTGTCGTTTGAAGCAATCTCATCCGGCGACTCCAAACCCCGACAAACGGCGTCGGTGTTCCAGCTACGACCGCAACCGCAGAAAAAGGAAAAGAAAAGATGGCAAGGACATCACTGAATCGGGAAGTTGTGTCTTCAGCCGGGAGGAGTGGCGTTTTTCCGAGATGACCTCTGTTCAAGTAGGCAAGTCAAATGCAAACGCCTCTCAAATGGACAGCGTGTGCGCTCCGGTGCGAGACAGACGACCCGTCTCGCCGTTCAAACTGTTGGGTCACAGCGTTGAAACGGGATGGTCGCCCGCTTCAAAGACCCCTTTGCGCTTCTCAGGACAAAACTCCCAACAAACCGCCTCGGTGTGCATCGACCCCGCGCTGATCCCCGACGTAGCCCGCCTCTCCCCGTCCTCGTCGGAATCGGACTGGGACCGCCTGCTGCCCTCGGGCCCGGGCGACGCGGCCGCGGCCGATCTGGACACGGACTTCATTCACAGGCCGTGCGCGTGGATGAGCGACGGCGGCTACGAGTCGCGGCTGCACAGCGCCCTGCGGCCGGCCACCCCCACAATGGAGCCCTCGACTTTCTCCAAGACGGTGGTGCAAATTGTCGAGGTACTTCACTGACTGCACTTTTACGGACTTGGAACGGAGCACATTTATTTTTGAAAATCATTTTTGCCATCTGCCAAACTACTGCCAATGCTCTCATGCTGACCTCTGTCTTTCAGCAGCTTCACGGGAAACACACACTGAGTAGGTTTGCTTTTTTGTTTTTCCCTGAAAGGGGCATTATTCAGTTCCTTGAAGTGCTTTGGAGTCGATCCCAATTGAGCTTGTTTTGATGGTCCGACATGCAAAGCGCTTGGAAAAGTGCAGCCCCTTGCACTTGCCCCTAGGATGGGATCTGTATGGGAATTCGGAATGCCATGTGTTGTTTTTAAATAAATAGTTTTAAAACTACCGATTTCCCTGCTGTTTTCAAAATAAATGTCCACTGAATGTAGACATGATTTACTTGCATAAAAATGGCTGACTCAGCTGGAGAGTAATAATAATAATAATCTTGAATATGAACGAAGAATTTTGGCTGTTTAACTAGACTAAATGTACAATAGACCTGACTGCTGTAACTAATACCTTTTGATCAAAAATTTCCTTCCTGTAAATACTGTTTGCCTTTATATAACAACACAGTGGTTGTAAAAGAAAACCCTGTGATTCAAGTGTGTATTTTAAGCTGTTCAAAGGAATTTCACAACATCGGACGTTTTGACTTCGGGTGAGAAATGGAGAAGAATCGCTCCAATATTGTCGAACAAGAAAGTGCGGTTAGTTGTATTGTCTGCCATCTAGTGGTAGAGCGTTGTATTGTGTGTCACCGTCAAAGCGAGATAAACGGAGAAGATTTTGCTCGGAGTGAGACTCGTTTCCAGTATTCTCTTAAAAATATTTTGGAACCATTTTTTAAATGAGGAACTAGGATTTTCTTTTTTTAAATGAGTATAAATGAATATACTGCGCTCTTCTCGCTTGCGCTGCACCAAGACACGTTAGACTGACTACTGCCCCCAAGAGGCTGGAGTACTGAAACACAGCAGCTACTCTGCTGGCCGCTCGGTGGGCTTTCCACAAGGAGCTCCAAGCACCATCCAAGTAACTTCCTCCGCTCACGTTGTCTCTCCTAAACACGGTGACGGACGCGCGCGGTCGAAGCTGAAATAAGCCTTTCCATTTTCTGCCATGGACTCCACTTGAGTGTTGTGGCGCCGGACGAGACCGCACCAAACGGCGTGCACGGGGCACCGCGTTCGTTCGGGCTGGCAATCGTCCACTGCGCTCCGGTTGCCCGCCGCCTCCTGCTCGCCCCCTTGACGGCGCCCGCACTACAGAGGAGGACAGCGGCGGGACTATGTGAGCACCATGCGGGCTGTGAGATGTCTGCTGTTCGCCGCAGTGTTTGCACGCTGTTCCGTGACGGGTGAGCGTGGCTTTTGAATTGCCTTTCTTTGGAATGGCATTATTTGATGATGTGATGTGATGTGGTTCGTTTCGGATGAATTCCAAACTCTCGTTCAAAACGTTGAGTTGTTTCCCGAAGCCGCTCGCTGCGTCGTCGTGGATTTTGAATCGATTGACTTTCTTTTCCCCAAGCTTGGATTCATTTTTTTTTTGGGACCCAGCAGGTTAGGTTGAAGGGCATACGATGTTATCGCCTCTTTCTCAGAACTTGTATTTCATTTTGGCTACCGCGCTTCGGTTCTCCATTTCACACTGTAAGAAAATAACAATAACAGACACTGATGTCCCTGTAAGGTCTGAGGGAGGGCTGGCAGCCCCCCGCCGAAGATCTGGTGCAACCCAAGAGGCTCCTGCAGCAGATCCACTCCCAGGGCGAGCTGCTCCACAGCCGCCTCGACACCCGTGTCCAGAACCTCTCCAGGGCGGCGCAGGTGGGTGAGACTCCCCCCTCCCCCCCCCCACAAAGCACATGGGAACATACTATCCCTCTCACCTTGTGACCACCGTCATCTGACTGTCCTCTGTAGGAAAGATCAAGTACAAGTAATCACTTGAGAGTTTTTGTGGGCCGCCTCTATTTTGTGGCTGTTTACCATCTTCCTCTCGCCCTCCCGTCAGCCCGTGCATTTGGCCCGGAGCAGCTTCCGGGTGGAAGCCTTTGGCAGCTCGTTTATCCTCGACCTGGAACTCAACCAGTAAGTCAAGTCACTCCATCGACTCGACAGCGTGTCCTTGGTGCGCCGGCGTGTCCCCGGTATTGACGTTATTGTTGCACCGACACCAAAACAGTGTGTTAAGTGACAGCCATAATCAAATGAAACGGGGCCCCCCTCTTCTCGTCCTTCTCTCGTCTTCAGTCATCTCCTGTCGACAGACTACGTGGAGAGACACTTTGAAGAGGACGGGCAGCCGTCCCAGATTAAGGTAAGTGCCCCTCGCCGAGGACATGAAGCAGCATGTGGCTAAATGGCCAACAGACGCCCATTCGTAGTTGTGTTGCACAGCGCAAACAAACAAGAGTGCCGTCTTCCTGCTATCGCCGCACGCGTGTTCCCCCGCCCCAGCGCACCCGACCAATCAGTGGACGGTTGTCATGGTAACCGGCAGCAAGCAACAGTGGCTCTGCTTGCCGTGAGGGGAATTCAAATAGACTCCATTTTTCCCGGAGCAACGCCAAATCTGACCCTTCCTCTTCAGGGTGTACAAAAAGGTTTTCAAGTTGTAGAATGATCATGAAGATCGTCGCTGACAGCCGGGAAAGAATAAAGAACCTATTCCCCAAGGCATACAAGCGCGGCTACGTTGCTTTTCTCTTTGCGCCGCATGCTAATGCACTTCGAATGGCCGTCCTCTCCACTGACAATGCGTCTGACTGATTGACAAGGGCTGAGTGTGCATCGCGATGGAATGTATTTCTGCCCTTGCCAGCGTCCATTAGATGAAGAACGTGCATCTCATCTCCTTGTGCGCATTCAATGAGGAGTGCTGCGTCAGGCAATTTCAGCGCCTCCTTTGAAGCCACCTTATCCCACCGTTGGACTTATTAGCTCTCTGTGGCTAAGTGCTGCCCCCCCCCCTCCCCCTACCTGTCTGTCCCACCTCCTCCCCTACGCCCTCCTGTGTGATGAAAATCATTTTTGTCCTCAACAAATGCCCGAGGCAGGGAATCAAAACAAACACCATTGAGAAGCGGATTAACAATCAATCACTTCTTGATACAAATCAGTTCATTTTTACATGGGGGGCCAAAATTCCACTTGTTTCTTGATTTAGGAATGCTGTTTTTTTTTTTTTTTTTGCTTCTTTGCCTACAGGGAGGAGAGCACTGTTACTATCACGGGCGTGTGCGAGGGCTGCCCCAATCTTGGGTGGCCGTGTCCACCTGCCGCGGCCTGTGGTGAGAAAACCTCCCTGACGCTGGACTCCGTCCGAAGAAACAAATCAAACAATGCGCTTGGATGAGCGCGCGCAGCCACTCTATCACTGGAGCTAATGTTGCAACCCCCCTCTCCACTTTCAGGGGGATGTTCTCCGACGGGAATGTCTCGTACGGTATCGAACCCGCGGCCACTGGCGAGGTGAGTTAGCATCGAATAAGCATCGGAACGCTGCGCGGGCGGCGGCGGCGTGAAGTCTTTCGAAGACATTTCAGTGGGCGTGGGAATTTCCCGAGTGGAAACGGAGGGCTGGCTTTTTTCAGGTCCTTCGCTGTACTTTGGCGAGGTGCGATTGCCCACTCGTGAGAAGCGGAAGCAAGTGGCGGGACAGAGTGCAAGAGCTCCATTTTGCTTTGTTAATGGAGCTCAATTCCACAGACGAGGGAGGCGGATCAATAGCGGCCCTTCTTCAGCCCACTTCTAGTTTTGCCCTTGGCTTTCTTTACATGTCAGAGTTCCATCAAGTATTCATCCCCGGCTCCAGTGTGCGAGTGTGCGAGTGATCCGTACCGTTCTGAGCGGGCCGCCGAGTGATCGATTGATTAATTATGCATCGGCCGAGCTCTCCTCACCGAAGCTTTTGAAGGACTTGCGCTTGGGTAACATTTGAGCTGTTTGCCTCCAATCCAGTCCGACTCCTGCTTTTGCTCTTGCAGGCGGACCACGTGGTGTATCGCATGCCTCGCGCCGACCTCCTCCTGTTTCCACCTCCAGGTAGGACGACCGCTGCCGAATGCGGAAGTCCGTTATTCCCCCGGATTCAACGGTTTGCGTTTGCCTCCATCGAGGCTCGAATCAACCATGTGGCCGTTGACGTCGAGCAGAAGGCGGCTGGCCGGCTGGAGCCGTCGCCATTGATGCAGAGAGAATTGCCCTGAGTTTGAATGCAATGGCATTCCCCCATCCCGTTCCCGCCTCCTCCTTCCGTGGCTCGTGTGCTATTGATTTCTCCGGCGCAACCAAAAATACACGGCTGATGACTAAGCCCTCTCTTTCTGCCGCCGTCCCGTCTGCGTTTCCCAGCGAGCAGCGTGAACGGCAGCCGGCCTAAAGGGCAGACGGGCGCCGGCGGGGGAGACGGGAAGAGGCGGTACGGAGACGACCGGCCTGCGCCGGGGGCAAAGGAGAAGCTCGCCAACCGCGGGAGACGAGCAAAACGACAAGTCAGTCGTTGATATTCTCAAAGTTGTTTTTTTCATTTCATTCATCTCTTTGGTCCGATGCAACAAATGAATAGCTGACTTTGGGAGGGGGGCGGGGTATGACACATGAAATAGCAATGTTGGGGGCGACATTTTTTGACAATTACTTTTCAAGATCGTTCGGCTCCGTTGCCCGGCTGCGCCTCGTTCCGCAAACTTAGAGTGGCGGCTTTCAAACTTCTTTGTCCCCCGCAGGCACGTCAGGGTCAGCGCACCGTGCAGACGGAGACCAAATACATCGAGCTGATGGTCGTCAACGATCACGAACTGGTGAGAGCTTTCGAGCCTCGCCAACGAAGATGACATTCGGCAACTCGCCGGCACTTTGTAACGCGCCGTTTCTTCGCTCCAGTTTGTCCAACAGCGTCGCTCGACCTCTCAGACTAAGAACTTTGCCAAGGCGGTGGTGAACATGGCCGACGCGGTGAGTTGCTTTTCCCCTGCGCACGCGCAAAAGGGTTGCTTCTTTTCAAAAATACGACCTCACACCCAAGATGAAGATCACGTCTCGATAACAAGTTGATGCTGCTGCCGGAAAGCTCAGTGGTTTCCATGCCAACCGGCTTCCAGCGGACCATGTGACTTGACATGTCACACGGAACCCCAATAGTAGTATATTGATGCTGTTTATAAGAAGAAGAATTGGCGAGTGTAGTGATCCGATCCTGCCATAAATAGTAGTGGGGGGGAACGTCATCGTCATCATTGCATTGAGATGCTACAAGATGACGAAAAAGCACTGCTCATGTCTCAGTGAAACTCCTCAACTCATTTCAACGTTGGCCTGCACACAAGAGGGGCAAATAGCGAAAGACAATCATGACTGTGGTTCACCCTGCGCAGATCTACAAAGATCAGCTCAACACGCGCATCGTACTGGTCGCCATGGAAACCTGGTCCATTGAAAACCGCATCTCCGTGGGCGACGACGCCCTGCTCACCCTGCGCGACTTCATGAAGTACCGCAGGGCAAGCGTCCGCGAGCGCTGCGACGCCGTGCACCTCCTCTCGTAGGTTTTGG